CGCCCCTGCCGCCGCCGCCGCCGCCGCTCGAGGCCCTGGGCGGGCGCAGGGTGTCCATCCTGGAGCCGCTGGCCCGCGCGCGCGCCCGGGAGCTGGCCTACTCCCAGCTGTCGCCGCAGTACCACGGCCTGAGCTACTCGTGCAGCCCCGAGTACGCGTGCAAGGCCTCGCACAGCATCTGGCGGCGCCTGGGACTGAGCCGGCGGCGCCCCCGGGACGACGAGGAGTTCATGGCGGCCGGCCACGCCCTGCGCAAGAAGGTGCAGTTCGCCAAGGACGAGGACCTGCACGACATCCTGGACTACTGGAAGGGCGTGTCGGCCCAGCACAAGTCCTGAGCCCCCGGCCGGGCTCCGGGCCCGCCGCCCCGCCACAACTCGTGACACCCACTGGACCAAAAAGGAGCCCAGAACTGACCGCGAGCCCAGCGGGCGCTCACCCGCACACAACACACACCGCGACCCGGGCGGGGGTGGTGGGCCGAGCCCGGGGTCCTCTCACCGCGCGGAGCGGCTCGTCCCGTACACACTGTGCACGCACACACACGCACACACACACACAAGGGACTTCCGAAAACTGTGGCTTGGGAACGGGGGGCGGGGGGTTTGGTTTTTCTCGTTTTTTCTTTTTTGATGATTCTTGCTTTTTTTCTTTTTCCTGTTTATTTTCTTCCTTTTTTTAAAAAAATAAATAATAATAAAAGTAAAGTTCCTTTAAGCAGACGTAGAACACCAGTCGTGGGGGGCGTGGGCCCCTGGAATGAGCCCCAGTCGTGGGGGGCGTGGTCCCCTGGAATGAGCGCCAGTGCTGGGGGGCGTGGTACCCCCTTGAACTTCAGTCGTGGGGGGCGTGGGCCCCTGGAATGAGCTCCAGTCGTGGGGGGCGTGATCCCCCCTTGAGTGTCAGTCGTGGGGGGCGTGGTCCCCTGGAATGAGCTCCAGTTGTGGGGGGCGTGGTCCCCTGGAATGAGCGCCAGTGCTGGGGGGCGTGGTACCCCCTTGAACTTCAGTCGTGGGGAGCGTGGTCCCCTGGAATGAGCGCCAGTGCTGGGGGGGGTGTGGGCCCCCCTTGAGCTCCCAGTCCCTGGTTTCCCTAATCCCTCGCCCTCTCTCTTGCTTCTCCACTCCAGGAGCCACCAGAGAGGGGGCATGGCCGATGCGGGACGGGCGGGGGTCGTGGCTGCCCCAGCGGCCGGCTCCGGGGGTGGCCGGGAGGGGGGCAGGGCTGGGAAGTCTGTCCGCCAGCCCAGTCCACGTTGTACGCTGTAGTTGTTCTATTGTACAGAAAAAAATTTCTATATTTGCAATGTTTGCTGTAAACCAAGAAAGAAACAAAGAAAGAAAAGACTATGTCTATTAAAAAAAAATCTGCAAAGGAAAAAACCAAACACTCGTTTGTGTGGGCTGTTGATTGCGGGCATCAGGGAAAGCTGGGGCCTCCTCCCTGGTTGGTGCAGGGTGGGTGG